TTTCGAATCGAAAATTTTAGTTTGGTTGATTTTTTTTATATTCTGCAATCATATAGTCATTAATGTGCAATCCATATAATCATAAGAATATATAAACCATAATAATAATATTTTTCATATAGCTCTATTATTTTAATTTTGATTGAAATAATCGAAATATATAATTTTTTAAATTATCGAAATAACTTTATTTCAGTTGAAATTATTGAAGTCAAAATAACTTAAATTTTAAAAATAACCGAAATATATAAATTTGGACATAAAATTTATAGTTATTTCAATTTTGATCACTAATGTGCGGTCTGTCACACATTAATGTGCAGTAATATTTCATTCGCTATTGTGCGTCTGTACCGACTGAACTTTTTCCCAACCAAATTAAAACCGAACTGAAATACATGATTTATTCGGTTGGTTAATTAAATTACCGTAATTATTATAAATAATTTATTTTTTATATTATAAATAATTATTTAATATCAGAATAAAAAATTTAATATTTTTACATTGGGTTTTATCGTAAATACATAATATGTGAAATAGCAAAATTAGTGATGATTTACAAATAAAATAATGTGCATTTAGTCTAGTATTATTGTCCAATCAATCGAGTATTTTTATGTGCATTTCAATTTTAGAATATTTAATAATGTGTATTTTTAGTTAACATTATTGTGCGCTTATTAATTTATTAATATACTAAAACTATATTCAAAATTTATATTTTTTATTTATTATTTCATATTATTGTCTGTTAAAATAAACAATTTACATATATGATATAAAAAAATATTTTTTTATACATCTCTGTCAATTATATTATATGTTTGTTTTTCCTTTTTAAATTAAAGATGAAACCGGTGAGAACAAGTGTTCGCAAAATATTTTCACTATTCGTAAGTGTACAGAGTAACTATAAGTAGTGGCGAGCAAGGTCGTATTCCACAAAGATTGTAGTTAAATTAATTAAGTACTAAAATAACGGCGAATTAATATTATCTAGACTAACTCAAATTTTGAATGGTGATTTTATTCTGAACTAATGAATGATTGCAAAATAAATTCTAACACTAATGAAGGTTTGTTCTAAGATAAATCAAGAATGAGAAAATAGATTCTAGGCTATGTTTTCTTCAGGATTATTCTAGCAAAGAATTTCTTATTCGTTCAAACCTTATTTAATTCTACCATTCGTAGGGATAATCGCTAAATTAATTTACACATTTCTCTCGAACAAGTTAAATCGTAGATATTAATTGTTATTTATCTCCTCTCGGTCTCAAAATGAACAACTAACTCCCATAAGCTCCTAAGATTTTAGTTCCCTCGCAAGATTTTATCAACCTCTAGGTCTGTTTAGTCTCTTACATTATGAATTTCTCAATTCTAGCAATCAACTATCTCCTCTCGGTCTCAAGTCAATCACAAATATGCATAAATACGGGCCCTATATTCACACAATTCATATAAGCACAAGAAATTGATAAACGAATGATAAACCACAATGAATAAATAAAATCACTTCATCAAATAATCCGAATACTCGCAAATCCTAGAATCCTTAAAAGGTTTAGCTACTAAACATATTCTCAAAACTCAAAATAAACAAATCCATGAGTTCAATGAAGAAGAAAAAGAGAAAAGAAAGAAGAACTATTGTCGCCGTTAGTTCCCGAATCTTTAATCTTGACTTCCTCGAATCCCTCGTGTGTTTCGTGTTTTCTCTAGGCCTTCAATCGTGTCAAAAGTCCCAAAAAAGAGTTCCTCAAGTCTGTTTTATATTGTAGGGCAATTCTCAGTCGAAAAAGAGAAGAAATCGCATAAGAATCCTATTCTCCGCTGATCTGGTCTGCGCGTCACACGAGTCGTGTCACATTCCACACGAGTCGTGTGACTTTTCTCCAATTTTCGACAAACTTCCATGTCCACACGACTGGTCACACGACCGGGTCACAACCCACACGACTCGTGTGAAAAAGCCGTAGCTGCGTCTCATTTTCTCAACCCACACGACCCGTGTCACCATCCACACGAGTCGTGTGACCTCTTCTGCACCCCGTTTTCGCCGTTTTTTGCCCCGATTCCATTTGCAACGCTTTTTCGGCCATATTTCCTGCAAAGCCAACGACAAAAACACCTCTATCATAGATTAATAAACAAAACAAAATGGTGCACAATCACACGATAACCATGGCCAAATATCACAATATATCACTTATAAGTCATAATGCTTGAAAATATGATGAATGTCAACAAGCTAAAAATTTAATATATGTGAAAAATGCACGCCGTTGTGATAATGTACATTATCTTTTTCATTAATGTGCATTTAGTATAACACTGTCGTGCTTTCTGACAATCATTAACGTGCAGTGGTATTTTTTTTATGTACCTAAATAATCAAATTTATTTATTATTTATGTTATAAATTATATTTAGTATTTTAATAGTTTTTATTGAATATTTTTATATATTTTTTTATATACAATACATAATATATATATATATATTTATTTATAAACAGATTTATATATATATATACAAATAATTTTTATGTATTTATTATAAATTATAAATTATAAATTTGGACCAAAGGATTAAATTGAAATAAAATTAAATTATCTGAAATTTCAATTAAACCCTTTAATTTTATCTAATTTACAACTTTGAGCTCCACAATTGAATTAAATCATCTGAAATTGCGTTTAGTTACTCTTATCGTGCGTTTTCTTACCAAAAATCATTTCCAAATCGTCTTTTGTCCGCTCTCCCTTTCCGGGTGAAGGAGATAAAATTTTACAAGCTGATGCTGCTAAGAAAGAGAGTCGTTGAAAGCTTCGTCCGGCGAGGAAGAGGTGGTGACAAATCGCAGCACGTGGGCGGGGAAGGAGGCTGAAATCTGTGACACCGACGACCGTTGAATCTTCGACGAGTGTGTTTCAGACGACGACCGAGACTGGAAGTTGAGGACGATCGGATTTCATTCGATGACAGAGGCTGAAATTGTAGGAGAGAGTTTCGAATTTTTCGGCGGCGAGACTTCCGATTCGGTTTCAGGGAACGCCGTCGACTGGTGCTAGCGGGCGGAGTGCGGCGTTGACTGGAGAGTTTCCCGGAGTTTGTGATTCGGCGGCGATGTGCGGCGGAGGTTGAGATGCGTGTGTGGTGTGTTTCTTTTCCCGTCGTGGTGGAGAAAAATCTGCAGGCTGGCGGTGGCGGCTCCGTCTGGAACGGCGGCGATTGGTGGTGCAGCTGCCGACGAACACCGTTTGGTTTCTCAGATGTGGCGGAGCAGTCGCCGGCGGCAGTGACTGGATTGACGGACTGAGAGAGAGAGATTGTTGTGTGTTGGTGAGATAGGACGTGGGGCCCTCTATATAATTTGGCTGGGTTGGTGGGTTATGATGTGGGGCCCACTAATAGTATTAGGTTTAGAGGATGAGTATGTAAAATATCCATATTACTCTTAATGAGTATCAATATGTGAATTTTTTTTAACTGTTACATCATTCCAAATGTATTATTATTTCTTTCACTAAAGTTGAACTCAATCGTATATATATGTATATATTGTTTATCGAACTCGGGAGGCCGGCATGTTGATATTCGACTGGATATCATGTTTTCCACTCGACACGTGTCTCTTTGCAGAAATACTGGGTAGGGACTTCAATCTATTTTAAAGATATTTAAAAAGCCGACCTAATTCCTCTTAGTAGGTCGATGCCTAGTGAAAACTATATGTCAGATAGCACGTCCATAAATCTAAAGGATTGTCGACCTGCTAATGGAATACAACTGTACTGTGATAAATAAAGTTATAAATGTGGATAAGACACTGACAAGACAACTCAACAATTACGATGCCGAGCAGAGTCTAAAATGCCAAGCCGTTTATCTAAAGAATTAAATGCTACACCAATGATTATTGACGAGATGTTTACTTGCCCGATCGTCGACACACGTGAAATCATCCAAACAAGACACTCCCGTGTATAGAGACTCCCACCATAATCTTTTGGAAAATAATGCTCTTATACTTTACTTAAAATATACTGCAACTTGTACTATGCTGGTTAATAGTACCAAAATGTATTGCACTATAAATAGTGTCGAAATTTTACTAAGAATTCATTAAGAAAACACATACTTACAACCATCTCACTAGCCGAAACAAGGAGACCTACCAAAGGTAGCCTAATGCTACACCACAACAAAACAAATACACAATAATATCTTCCCAACGGAAGAATACCCACTCTCCAATGGAAGAAAAGACAACCTAACACGGAAGAAAAACACAAACGCACACTTACAACATGACGAAAAAAAAAACACAAAATAAACTAAACTAAAACCCTTCCCCCAGCATCTAAGCCTACACGAACAACGACGCCGACCCACTCAAGCGACCACCCAAAAATACAGATTCTCGATCCAAGCCGCAAAACTAGAATTACATATAAATTGCCTAACCAGAACCGAGATTAAATGACCTTGCCTCTCGCCCGAGTAGACAACCCGCAATTGAAAATCCAAACAAACTCCACCTCACAAAACCCGACGACCCAGGAACAAGGCACGGACCCGACCCCGACTCGCCTCAGCCCACACAACCCAGAGGCCCCAAAGGTAGAGAAGAATGGAACCGACCTGATCTCAGCCCCTACCATTATGAAGGGGACGGTTGGAGCCACAACCTTCTCTACACACTCATCGAACGTCCGCCACCGTCTAGACGCTGGGGAATCGTCGGACCATGACTCACTTTGGTGACCTAAAAAGTGGCAAAAACCAAAGGACGGAACCCGCCGCCTCACTCGAAGCAAAGGACATTGCCCGATCCGACGAGCCTCTGAGAGCCGGCCGCACGGCTCGAAGAAGGCCGATGCCGAGATGGCCCGGAGGCCTGCTGGGGGAAGGCGCACTGCGGTAAGATAAAATAGGATTAGGTGCTAAATAAAGCATAAAAAAACAAATAAAATAAAAGACACATGAAACTGTGACAACATTTCATCTTCATCTCTCTCTTCCACCGTATATTTTTACCGCTTGAAAGCGCCATAAACATCCACCCACCTTTCTATCTGTCTTCTCTATGTATAAAGTCACGAAAACGGAAAAAGAGTAAAAGAAGAATCTTCACGGCTCTACATTTTTTTTTTTTTGAGTTCATCCCCTTCTCAACTCCATTTCGTGGTTTTAGGCCTGCAGAAAAATGAGGGGAGGCGATGAAGAACTCGATATCGACAGGCTGCCCGTTGATTTGTTGGCGCACATATTTTCACTTTTCACTTCATTCAAAGACCTGGCTCAGTGAGTTAGCTATTTTGTTGGGTTTGTTTTCCTTTTTCCTCAATTCTTTTTTAGTTTATTTAGCGGATTCGTGTTTTGATCGAAATGATTTATTTGTTTTTGTTTTGTCTGCGCGGAAAATAAAATTAGGGCAAGCAGTGTGTGCAAAAAATGGAGGCAGGGCGTAAGAGAATCTCTAGCTCGAAGGGGAAGTCTGAGTTTTTCTGGGTGGAAAATGGATGACGAGTCCACCACGCGCCTTGTTCATCTAGCTTACAGCCTCAAGGAGCTTGACATGTAATGGTTGTTTCTTTAATTATTTTGGGGTTTTATCTGTCAGAAAGTGTATTTGCTTGTCTTTTTTGTTAGATGATTCTCTGGGTATAAGGTTTTGACTCCACTGAATTCTTGTTCTATTAGTAGGGTTTACATTTTCGGAGGAAATTTAGTTCTTGTATAAAAAAATTGATAACCAGAAAGAGGCATTTGACTGAAATTTTTAATATGAATCTCAGCTTTCATACATGTGTGTGGTAACTGGATTTCGGATGTACACTGATAAAATCCGGCCATCCGTCGTGTATGATGATCAATCAAAGATTTTAATCATGCCTTTTCCTTTCTTGACCTTGGTAGAACATGAATACATGAGTGCACTAGAGTTTCATAATGTCTGATCATATTTGTGTAATGAGGCTATAGACAGATAACTTTTGTTGCCAATCTTTTTTATGCATTGATGATGGTAGTATTTGGATTCTAGATCAAGGAGTCGATGGGGTTGCCAAATAACTGATCATGGGTTGAAGCAATTATCTACGGCTAAGTGTATTAGCAATCTTTCTTCCGTTTCTATGTGGGGATCAACAGCAATTACAGACAAAGGAGTCATTGAATTGGTATGGCATTGATTTTGCTTCCTACATTCTCCTAAAGATTGTGGAAGGAACAATATATAATGACTTCTTGAAGATTGATTCATCATCCTATGTTGCTAGCATAACTTATGGTTTTGGTTTGCATGATAAATCTATTTGTCAGAATTTGAAGTGAAATAGCTCTGCCAATTTGTGTTGCTAGGGTCATTAGAGTTTTAACAACATTGCTTCAGAATTAACCGAAAAATATTTGTAGGATTATGTTCTCTTTTTGTCTTCCGATTTGTAGTTCTGACAAAACAGAGGATGCTCTGCTTGGGTCTAATGGTCTAAGGCCTTTTTTGTTTCTCTTCGTTCAAGTGAGTTTTAAATAAACCACCGATTAGCATTTCCGGGCAAATTCTTTTCTTTCCTATGAATCCATGGAAAATGCTTGGGGATGTGAATAACCAAAACCCAAAACCTTCTGAATATATTTTATTAATTTAGATTAACATATTGTTTTCCCGCCTACAGATCTCTAGAGCTACTTCACTACAACACTTGAATATTGGTGGTACATTTATCACAGATGCATCCCTTTTTGCCATTGCCGATAGCTGCCCTCACCTGAAGGTATTATCTCACTGAAAAGGAAAATGAAAAATCCTGATACAGTACATATAATGCTTTCAGTTATCACCACACAGGCAAAAGCCTCGTCTTAAAAATCAAATGTAAATCGCAAAAACAAACCCCTGATTTTAGTTAGTTACAAAGAAAGAGATCCATTTACATGTAATTCCTGAATGAAATATTTGTACTTTTAAATGATATTTGAAAGTCATTTGGCCACCTTACAAATTTAAACTTCCTTCGACCAGACCATTGTTTTGTGGGGCTGTCGTCATGTGACAGAAAACGGGCTTCTTGCCCTTGTGAACAAATGCCGAGAACTCAGATCCATCAACGTCTGGGGAATGAGGGTACCTCTTGACTGCTTCACTGGGCTGCTCACGATAAGCCCAGCTCTTCAAATTCAGCCCAAAGGGATGCTGTTAAATGATGAACGGGTCCATATCTGGCCTGTTTACTAAAGCAGCCAGAAAAATCCACTTGAAGTGTAACATTACAGATTCGTTTGTCAAATTTGTTTCATTGGTGAGATTGCGAGCGACTGTTTCCGTCATTTCTATTTTCATTATAAAAGAAAATGAATATAATGTAAATTCGGTGAACTTATTATCTGTATTGAACTTTCATTCTTCAATTCATCAAAACAGATACACACATGGGATTGTATATATATGGGTTGGTTTGTATTTAGTTTTAATGTGGTTTACTTTGTGTGATTGCTCAGTCTTCAAGATAGTGCGAGGAAGTTTTGTATATGATCAAACAGTTGCTTGAGCGGTTGGCAAACAATGTGATCACATGTTGAAGTCTTTTTCCACGTGGAATGCTTTGGCAGAAGAAAGGAGACTAGGACTTGCCCAGTGATAAAATTTCAATGTTCCATTATTCGCACAGCTACCCAAGATTTTTACAACACAACACACTGCATGCTTGAACCAACAATTTTTACAGTATACAGTATTTTTCACTCTTAGCTTCCCAACCCAAGTATTCGACCTGGCTGTTACTTCATTGAGCGGTCGTATTTAACACTTGGCCTGCACAGTGTAGAATACCATGAACCAATAAAATGGCGACAAGTGTTAAATTTCATGTTAAAATTAATTTAATAATTTTCTATTTTATTTGAAAAATTAATGAAATTTAAATTTCTAAATTAAATAGTTAATTAATTGGTTATTTAATATATATTGTTGGCCAATTAAAGAATGCCACATGTATATTTTGAAGGCCAATTAAAAAATGCCACGTCATTTTCTTGGAGAATAAAATAAATAATAATTTCTTTTAATAATTATTAAAGAGATAAATAAGTGGATATTCATGTACCAATCAAATTGAAGTCTTCTTTTTCAAGAGTCCATTTTCTAATTATCTCTTTAATAAATGAATATTGAAAATTATGGACCAATCAAATTAAAGTCTTCTTTTCTAAGACTCTCTCTCCTAACACCTATAAATAGGGACCCTCCCTAAGGTGAAAATCACAATTCATATTCACAATTCAAGTTCCAAGTTCAAGAGCTCTAGAGAATTCTCTCAACGAGATTCAAGTGTTCTTGAAGATTCAAAGGCGTTCTTGAAGATCCGAAGGAAGATTCAAGCGCGTTCAAACTCAAAACTGACGTTCAATCTGGAAACAAGCTGCCAAGCCTCCGAATTACGTTATTAAAGTCAAGACCGGCGTAGAGAAGATCGAAGATCAACTTTGCGGAGAAGACCAAGGACTCGTGTTCTTCACGTTCTTGGGAAATCACGACGTTCGATTCGAGATCAAGCTGCCAAGCCCTCGAAGAAACGTTATTTAAATCCAAATTCAAGACCGGCGGAGATCAAACTGAAGGTTCGTCTCCAAAAGTCTCATATCCACTTGAAGATTGTTCTTGAAGAAATTAATCAGAGGAATAATAGAGAGTTAGAATCCACTACAAAGTTCTCGTGTTTATTAATTCAAGAATATGAATTTTGCGTTACAAATTTCTGGCACGCTCGGTGGGACCATCTCTACCTGTCATCTCTTTTCTTCAAGATATCTAAGTGCAACAATGGCTCCTCCCAAGTCAATTTCTTCAAGTTCTGCAAGCGGAAGTGTTGGTGTCACAACAAGAAGCATGACAAAAAACAAGAGTGTATCTCTGGAAGTAAATTCTCACCAAGTTGAGGAAAACATGTCGCCTTTGAACCAAGAAGAAGATTTAGAGACGATGTTTCATCAACACCTTTTCTCAATGGAGGCACTTGTTATGATGACGAACGCATCAACCATTGAAGAGCAACTTGCAACCATGGCGAAAACAATGGAGGCATTGATGAAACATGTCCAAGATCAAGACTCCATGATCTCAAAGTTGGCAGAAAAGGTCGACAAAGTTGAGACTAGCCGTGCCGGGGGCAAGCAAGATGAAACACATGAAGATGAAGAAACTTCTAAAGAAGATGAGGTGAAGCAGACTGAAAAAGAGAAGAATACGTCAGAAATCCATGTTTCTTCAAGTGGACTCATACCAGCTGACCAACTCAAAGAATTCATCATGGGAACCATCAAGGACAAATTTGATGTAGGCTCCAAGTTGTCTTTAATTTATTCGAAGCCATACACCCAAAGGATTGATAGCATGAAGATGCCTACTGGATATCAACCGCCGAAATTCCAATAATTCGATGGTAAAGGAAGCCCGAAGCAGCACATAGCTCACTTCATTGAGACTTGCAATGATGCTGGAACATATGGAGATCGTCTGGTGAAGCAGTTTGTGTGATCATTGAAGGGAAATGCATTCGAGTGGTACACCGACTTGGAGGAAAATTCTATTGATAGCTGGGAGAAACTAGAGCAAAAGTTTCTCAATCGTTGCTACAGCACACGAAGGAAGTTTAGCATGATTGAGCTCACTTCTACAAAACAGTGGGATGAAGAGCCTGTTATTGACTACATCATTCGATGGAGAAATCTAAGCCTCAATTGCAGGATCGACTGTCTGAAGCTTCTGCTATTGAAATGTGTACTCAAGGGATGCATTGGGGTCTCCGATACATTTTGCAAGGAATTCAACCAAAGTCTTTTGAAGAGTTGGCCACTCGCGCACATGATATGGAGTTAAGCATGTCTGCAAGCGGAGTCAAGAATCCACCTGTCCACGAGCCTCAAAGATTCAAGGACCGAAATGAAGCCAAGAAAGGGGGCAAGTTCTCCTCTAAAGCGCCTAACAAAGAGGTGAAGGAAGCAATGGCGGTCAATGCAAGACCCATCAAACTCAAGGGAAACACAAGTGAGAAAGTTGTGGAAAAGAAAGAAGTCCCTCAAGATAGGGGGCAAAGAAAATTAACCTTGAAGGAGATGCAAGCCAAACAATATCCTTTCCTTGACTCTGATGTTTCTGGAATTTTCGACGACTTGATTCGGGAACAACTTATTGAATTGCCGGAGATGAAACGACCCGAAGAAGCGGGACAAGTTGACAATCCAAAATACTGCAAGTATCATCGTTTGGTGAGTCATTCCATTGAGGATTGCTTTGTCTTCAAAGATAGAGTTATGCAGTTGGCACGACAAGTCAAGATATCGCTTGAAGAAGACAAAGGCTCTGCGAACTTTGCTTCAATAGTGAACTGCGAGGAAGGATATGAAAGTTTCGCTTGTAATGTGACGAGCGAGCAAGATGATGTCCCAAGTGATGATGAGTCAACTGATGACAAAGAACGATGTGATCATGAAGACAATGATGCGGCAGTCATCTTGACGGATGAAGACTTGATGTTAGGCTCAAAACCACATAATAGGCCTTTATTCGTAACTGGTTACACTCGTGAGAAAAAGGTGAATCGCATATTGATAGATGGAGGTTCTGCTGTGAACATTTTATCTCTGCGCACTCTAAAAGAGCTGGAAGTCCCGATGGATGAGCTCTCAAATAGCCGTTTGATGATTCAAGGCTTTAACCAAGGGGGACAACGAGCTCTAGGCATAATTGGATTGAAGTTATTAATCAGGGAGATTACTTCAAATGCTCTTTTCCATGTGATAGATGCCAAAACCTCTTATAACATGTTGTTGGGACGTCCTTGGTTGCATGAGTATGGAGTTGTGCCTTCTATCTGGCATCAATGATTTAAATACTGCCAAGATGGTGTAGTAAGAAAAGTTCTTGGAGGTAATAAGCCTTTTACTGAAGTCGAGTCTTATATCGCCGACGCCAAGTACTATTTTGAAGATACCAAGTCTGCTCGCTGTAAAGAAACTCCCATCAAACAGCAAAGTGATGCCAAAGAGAAGAAAGCCAATAACCTCGTTGGCAATGACCCTCTTGATGGACTGGTGTTGTCGTTACCTAATCTCGATGCCAAGAAACCAACCACGCAACCCCTGGGAAAGTTTGTCCGCCCAATTGAAGAAGCTAAGACGGAACACGGAGGGGAGCTTCAAAACTCTAAGTATTACGACCCAAAAGCTTACAAACTTCTTGTCAAATCTGGATATAATCCAAACGAAGTGAGCATTTTGGGATTACTTCTTCCGCAAGCAGCAAAAACTCAAAAGAAGGATGCTGAAGTTTAAAAAACTAAAGTGCGTCTCGGATTTGTAGCACCAAATCCAATTCGGATCACTATAAGACGAGCTAATTCTAATCATGAGTTTGAGGAAGGATTTTCATCCACTAGTCATTTGAAGAATGGAGAAAGAAGATCGATATTTGAAAGACTCGGACCCATTCAAGAGTTAGAGTCCAAAAGAACTAGTCATCAAAGACTTGGTATTCAAAGGATGGTTAGAAATGAGAAGATAGAAAGAAAGTTCCCCAAGATTCGAAGCTTGATACCGTCAAGAATGAAGAGACAAGCCACATTGATTGTTTCATGTGGTAATGTCTTGAAGGGAAAAACGTGAACGATCGTGCACACGAGAGTAAGAGATGAAGAAGAAAGTGATGGAGAAAGAGCAAATCCTCAAAACCCCGAAGGCATCTTGCATCGAAGAATCGCTACATTGGTGAGAAAAGGGTTTATCAATGAAGTCAATGACACTTTGCGTTTGACTCGTGTTGTTACAAGAGACAGACGAGTTAGAACATGTGTTTATTTGAAAAGTCTTGTCGACCCTGCTGAAGATGTTGCATATATAAACCATATCACCATATGTGAAGATGCCCAAGAAAACGAAGAAGACGCGGAGGATGCCCCTGCTGAGCTTGAAGAAGGAGTTAAGGCTACGGTTGATGAGTTGAAAGTGATCAACTTAGGAGACGTGGATGATTCTCGACCAACTTATATCAGCTAACTTTTGACTAGCAATGATGAGAGACTTGTTGGGTTCGCTAGTACCGTACGGGCTTTAAGCAGCGGAATTTAAAATTTTTAAAATAAGTATTTATCGTATAAATACTATACCCGTACTTATTAATTGCGAATTAATTGATATTCATCTTTAAAACATGCATCATATACAAATTTTGATTTGTTACAATAAAGTAAATACAAATATAAAGTATTTACCGAATGTCTTGAACTCCTTCGTAATTTGACGATGGATGAGGAAATCGATTCCCGGTTTAGTAACAGCAACACTTTGTGTTTACTCGCTTAAGGAATCCACGTGTCTTCCCTCTAAACATATCCACCATATGAAGCCCGGTTCCGACGACCTTCCTTCGCTAGTAGGAATGACTCGGTTTTCTTGTATAAGAATATATATATATATATATATATATATATGGATTTTATTTGGAATTATCAAGAACTCTTTCTTGATGTTTATGAAGAACTCTTTCTTCTTT